TTCTGTGATTACAGATACAACACAATCTAACTATACGCTATCAAATATTTATACTTGATATATATTTCACACTACTTTAAATGTCTATCCTTATATATACATCTTTGTGTACATCCATAAATATTTCCACAAAATAAAATCTGAGAGTTGCATTGATTACCCAAAGGCATTTTTACAATTTTGGTACCCATTCATTGTTTGGTATGATTGATTCCAGGAAGATCCTATCATTTTACATGACCACCAGTGGGTGTGGTTTTCCCAGTGGAAGTGTTTCCAATTCTCCCTCAACTTATGAAATGACTCCACTCCTTTCTTGATGGTGGTGGTGGTAGTGGTTTATTGTGCTTTTAACTTTTGGAAAAATTTCCTGGTCTTCACTGTTAGCGTCTCACAGATACTAGTTATTAGAGTATTGTAGCAACCAGAGAAAGGACAACCAAACACAGCAGTTGGGCCACTGGTGTATCTATCTCCTAAATGCAGCACCCTCAGCCAGACTTCATTGCGGGCCCCAAGGACTCTAAAGATAGTTGCAAACACATATCTTTAACTGCTACAAATCAGGGTCTTCTAGCCCAATGCCTGGCCACAAGACCTGCTTCAGTGTGCACTTGCTGAGTGAATGAAACAGTATCTGTTTTTTTATATCTATAAGCTTCTTCAAAATTTAAGAAAAATAATTACATGAGGGCAGCTCCTGGAATTAGGAATATTGTTTTTTTAAAAATCATCTGCACCAAAACCATGCATAGTCTTAATTTCCCAATGATTGGGCTTTTCCAGCTCTGAATTTTCGCTTTCCAGTAAACAAAGGGAAGACTTTTACATTAACCCTATCAGGGAAAGAAAGGGCTTCCTGTGTTATTCTAACATCTATGACTGAACAGAAATCTAATGCAAGATGCATCGAACGAGGACAAAATCACTGGAGAGCAGACCCGGACAGCGTGCTGATGCCATATACCTTAGAGGCTCTCCATGACACAATCCTATAATCCAAAGCCACAGCAAATTGAATAAATAAGTAATAATTAGGTTTTTGCCCCTCTCTTATTCCAGGGAAATAATTTAAAAATTAAATTGGACATGAAGATAGGAGGGATTATATCACTGGTGACGTTAATCAGGTAGGAATTGTTTTTAGGGAAAAAAGCTCTTTTCTAAGAGTCTTAGAATCATAAATTATCAGAGGAAAAATGATGCTGCAAATCCTCTAATTTGAAAAATCACACCAATTTTAAACATAAAGAAACTGTACCTCAGAGACATAAGTAGCAGAACCCAAGTCTATGGAAATAATGACTTAATTCCATCTCCTCTCAAATTCTAATATAGCTTCATTTTTATGTATATATAACTGCCTTTTATTAGAGGAATATGAAAGCATGAAACCCATTGGGCGTTTGCCCTTAGCAAGCAGACCCTCATACTGTCAATTTATGTTGGGTAAAATCTGACAGAAACACAAAGCTAGCCTTTTCCATAAATTTAGATGTCATTTAGATATTCAGAGATGACACGGCTGAATCTTGAAGCTGAACAGATTTTAAGTATTTTCCAGTACAACTTCTTTCCCATATGAGGTGACAGACCCCAGAGGTTAGGACATATAAAGCCACCCAATTAGAAAAGCAGAGCCAGTATTTTAGAATTCCTGCCTCAGGTGCTTTTCCATCATATCAAGCTGGATTTTCTATGTGACAGTCTATGTGACCAGCATCTGGTATTTTTAACTTATAAAATCCTAGGTGTTATAAAACATCCACCCATGACCCATTCTGTTTCAAAGGCTGTACACTGTGGCCCTATTCTTTTAGTCCCGTTCCATCATTTAACAGTAATCTTTTCTCTCAAAGTCTAAAGATTTTCAAAAGACAAGACAAAAAAAAAACCACAGGTCTGGCCCTTATAGTACAAGATGAAAAAAGTACCAGAAAGCCAAATAATGCTGCAGACATAGGCATTCCAGTCACTAATGATCAGGTGAAACTTGCTTTTTTTTCCACCCCTTCTTGCTGACTCTGGCCACTTGTCAGAATTTTTTTGGCCAGGCAGCACTGACAGGACTGGGTTTGTCCCCAGCTCACCCACCGGGGGTTAACACGCTTCCCAGAGAGGAGGAGGCCCTTGGTGAGCTCCTCAGCGTCCTCCTGTGCCACCATCTGGGAGACTTCAGGTAAGCAGTGTGCCTCTTTGGGCCTCAAGGTACTCATGAGAAGATGCCAGTGTCTTCTCCGGCCCTACAATCATATGGTCTACGATTTAGGTGATAGTTATCATCATAAAGGGGACGGTGGGAGTGAACTGAGGTGGCCTCTTGATACTGCATTTGAGTCCTAACCTTCTTTCTCTGTCTCTCGCAAGCCAAGCCAGTTGGCCTGTGGGGGTTGAATCACATTTTCGTGTGGGTGGGAGAACGTTTCAGTGGAAAGAACTGCATGATCCCCAAGAGCAACTGGAAGGGCTGGAGAGAGAAGGACAAAAGACAGAAAAAGCAGAAATGTTCAGGAACAAAAAGCAGGGAATGTGGGAGGCAGGGCTGACTCACTGCCTCCTCTGAGATAAACCGCCCTTTAAGGCACTGGCTCGAGCCTAGATTTTATCCCACCAGGCCAGACATTAGAGGGGTCCCATAAATGCTGGATACAGCTATCAGTAAGTTCTCTGCTGCTTCCTTACACTGATCCAGGGCAGCTCTCTAACGAGGGTTTTCTACAACCTACCCAAAGATGCAGCACACAGAGCAACTATCAAAATTCCTTCTGTGCCTTGTCCTGGAAGACTCATCCAAATTATGGTCTCGACCTGCATAGTAGTGGGGGACACACATAACTCTGACACCGCCATCTGGGGCTAGCTTCATAAATGTTACTTCCAGCTACTGGCAAACTCGGCCAGCCATTGTCTGCCTCCTCATCCTATTATTTAGATCTTTGCACTGAACAACTCTAGGAGGTACCCTTCACATCTGGGGTCACCATAAGTCTGTGCATTTATTATAACAATTTTCTGGCAGGTGACCATACAGGTTTTGAAGAAAGGGCAGCAAAGAGATCACATGGACTAGTGTCAGAGTTGCCCATTCCAAACCCACATAAAAGCACATGATCAGCACACAGAAGAAAAACAAACTTAATGTTTATGTTACCAAGGCTCTTCTTACTAATTAAAATGTGGAGATGTCACCAAGGCTATATTTGGGGTCCCTAGATCTTACACTATTGTTATCAAGATGACAGACAACCTCAAATAAGTAAAAATACCAATAAAATGTGAGACAGTGTAAGAACAAAAGCTCATGTTCCAGGAGCGGCCATCTACTGAAATTCTATTAGCAGTCTGGAAAATCTCCAGAAGGCAATAACCTCCCCCACAGGCTCACTGGAGGCTTCTAGAGAGCTCTGGCAAGCCTCAGAGTTGAAGATTATCTCCATAGGGGGGTCGCTATAGGCAGAAAGGGGAGATTCAATCCAGAATCCAAAACACTGCTAAGCATAATGTTCACAGATATGACACATATCTTGAGCATTCCAGAAGGTATGATGAAGAACTAGATCACCAATAAAGGTAAGAAATGAGTTCCCATCTGTGCTTTATCTAAATAGGTCACATTGAATGACTCTTTGTAGTGACAAATGTTAATGATTTTTCCTCAATCCCAAAAACTGGACTATATTTTTATGTTATCTTTTTTAAAATCAGTTTTTCTTTAAAAAAATTTTGTTAATGTTCTATTTATTTCTGAGAGAGAGAGACAGCATGAGCAGGGGAGGGTAAGAGAGAGAGGTAGATACAGAATCTGAAACAGGCTTCAGGCTCTGAGCTAGCTGTCAGCACAGAGCCCAATGCCAGGCTCGAACTCCCAAACCGTGAGATCATGATCTGAGCCAAAGTTGGACGCTTAACCAACTGAGCCACCCAGGTGCCCCAATCAGTTGTTTTTTTTTTTTATATATACTAGGTGTAATTCACATAGAATAAATTTCCTTTTAGTGCCCAATTCTGTGGGTTGGAAAAACTCAAAACTGCACCTAAAAAATAAGCAATTAAGTAACCACCACCATAATCAAGATGTGAGACAATATCATCACCCCAAAAATCCCCTCATGCTTGTTTATAACCAACCCTTACTCCTAGCCTGACAACCAATGATTTGATAAAACTGGACTGTATTGTAATATAAATATCAGCACTGTTTATACTTTGCTTTAAATATTTATATTTCATTTATCCTAAAACAGACACACACACACACACATCCTAGATGTGAACACTGTGACAGTAGGCTATGTCTTAAAATCACTGGCATTTTACTATTATAAATGTAAAAAAAAAAATTCTTTTCAGAGATACATAAAATAGTGATGTCTTATAATCTATGGTGCTTTTTTAAAAAGTCAGTGAAATGTAATAAGTCCTGTAATGTTTATTTCTTAACATTCACTGAATACTTACCATGTGTGAAGCATTCTACTAGACACTGAAAATACAAAAATGAACATGGTCCTCAAGAACTATCACTTGGATATACATTATCAATTATAATATATGATAATGCCTGTAGCAGAGGGTTATCCACCAACTAGAGACTAAATCAAATTATCTCTAAATTGGCCACTCTTCTTCTTTCAGGCAAAATTGCCCCCCAACTCAGTTCCTTGCAAGGACACAGGAAATGAGGATGAAGGTGGTACCATTCAGCTTCACTCTGCCATTCCAGAAATGAGTTATTGCCACGCCATCTGACATATTGCCTAGGAACAATCCAATTATTTCTTCCATAATACATTGTTGTGGTAGGGAAGCCTCATTTTAGTGTTCAACAGCTGCAAGGCTTTTAGGATAATATCAGAAGACAAGTAACTCAAAATAACTGCTCAATCTGTAAAAGGCAGATGCCCCAAATCTTTCATAGACATGCTTCAAAGTCCCCAAATTCTTCCCTGGGCAATTTTTAAAGGGGAATGTAGAGAAGAAAAGTTAGTGAATGCCCTTACCTGGTTCTTGAAAGTGTTCTTCATTTGACAAAGTTCTAGACAAGATAAGTATTAATGCTTCTTTAAATTGGTCAAAATGCACCTAAAAAGTAAACAATTAAAAATAAATTCAAAGTAGTCTCCACAGGCCTAAGGAAGTAAATCCATCTTCAAGACACCAGAAGCATTTGTTAGCATCCTGACAGCCTTGAAGTGAGTCATCAATGGCTTTTGTTCCCTTTTCTTCATTTCTCTGAAGCAATGAAGGGAAAGTGGGCTGATCATATCTGACACCCCCGTGTCATAAACCCTAATGTCAACATCAATATTTATTCAACCCCGAGGGGGCAAGCTACATAGCAAAACCGTCTTTAAAAACTCAGAGAAAGATATGTTTTGAACTCAACTCCTTTTATTTTTCTGAACAAGATCACAACAGAAATATGTTAGGTTATACATTAGGAAAAACTTCCCAAGTAAATGATCCATTGTAACAATGCCCCAAAGACGCTTTCATCTCTGAAGAGATTCTGGAAGAGAGTGAGCTATCGTCTGAGGATGACTTGAATACAGTCTTGCCTGAGGCAGGTATATAATACTTATCTCCCAAGGCCATGTGACTCTATAAACAAATAGAAATCAATAGCAAACACAAAGAATAAAAGAACGTTGGGAAGCATTGTCTTGAATTCTTAAAATTACAATTACCTTGATAGAAGGATGAAAGAACAAAAGTTGTATTTAAGTAATATTCCGTTAGAACTGGGGCATTACTTTCTTTAAAGGGGTAAAGCCGTTTTCTTGATGGCCATGTGTATTCTTCTATAATTTAAATTTATGTGACCTCACCGTGGAGTAGAGGGGAAAGATGGTATTTCTTCTCATGATAATTCTAGTCTGATATTGTGGCACCTATTTATACAGAAGCCCATAAATAAAATTCAAAGTTGGTAAATGTGTAACGTATGCCACTAAGGGTCTCTTTGGACACCCTTACAAAACGTTGCCTCGAAGTTTAAATAGAAGTGACAGATAAAAACCACTTGGTAAATTATATTGGGAAAAGTAACAAACCTCATTAGTCATCTAAACAATGAAGGACAAAAATTTTATGTCATATCTATGGAATTTACCATACTGTCCCACAGTAGGTGTGATTTTTCTTTTCTTTTTGTTAAATTTTTTTTTTTAGTGTTTTATCTATTTTTGAGAGAGAAAGAGACAGCATGAGCAGGGGAGGGTCAGAGAGAGAGGGAGACACAGAATCTGAAGTAGCCTCCAGGCTCTGAGCTAGCTGTCAGCACAGAGCCCAACACAGGGCTCGAACCCATGAACTGTGATATCATGACCTGAGCTGAAGTAGAACACTTAACCGACTTTTCTACCACGTCCACTTTGATCACTCCAAATTACTTTCCCAAATCATGTCCCTTTAGATGGTATAGACTAAAAATCAGTATACCCTATGCAGCCAGAGCAGAAATCTGTCATGGCAGGCAGGACACCTGCCAGAGAGCCAGGGCTGTGCAATCAATGAAAAGGTGAGAAGACCGCAGAAATGAAGCGGTACTGATTAGGGTTCACAGTGGAGAAAGCGCTGCAGAGCCTGCAGGAGGGGGAAGGGCCAGGTCCTGCTGCTGTCCCATAGTCAGAGTGTGGGCTTCAGGCACCGTGGCATCCTGGCTCCGTTCCCAGGGGCAAGGCCGTCTTCTCCAGCAGCCAGTTCAAAACCAGCACAGACCCCAGGGCTCTGCCACCCGTGGACATTAGCCAGGCATTTACTACTTCCGACTAGAACCATTCCTTCCCCTCAGGGTGGCAGGAAGAGGGCTAGGGCTCTGTGCCGGCAGGGTCCAGGTTCCGGCCCTGCCTCAGCCACTGACTTCCTGCTGTGAACTGGCTAAATTACTAAACCTCTCTGAGCTGTAGTTTGTTCATGTATAAAAATGGGGACCTCTAACAACTAAATTTTAGGATCCATTCAACAAATATTTATTGAGCAGCTGCTATGGGTCAGGCACCATCCTAGGCCCTGCTGACAGAGCACTGAACAAGAGTGACAGCTATCCGGCGGCCGTGGAGTGCATGTTCTCAGCAAACGTCACAGGAAGTCCAGGCAGCCACTGTGTTAAGAGCATCGCATGTCTTCTTTGTTATTTATAGTAACACCTCCCTCACAGAGGCATTAGGAAATTAAAATGGGAGTTATGTAAGGTGTCTAGAACTTCCAGGGTAACTTACCAGCTACTCGGCAAGTGGTAGTTAATACTGTAATAGGTATATTGGCGGGGGGGGGGGGGGGGNGACTGTTTCCCCTGCTTTACAGAGAAATGGCCACATTTTCAAGCCAAGCAACCGGCCCTGAAAGTGACCAAGACAGCCACGTGGCAATGGCAGAGGTGACAGCGGGGATCTTGCCTCCCCGCCAGAATCTGGGCAGTTGCCCAACGTCAGAGAAGCCGATCCAGTCTGCTGTGTTTAGGGACTTGAGCTAGGGGTTTCTCCTCTCAGGACAGTGATGGGAATGACCCGAATGAAGTGTCTCCCTGCCACTGTTCGGAGTTGAACAGAAAGAGGCTCCTATTTCGAAAGGGAGGTGCTTGCCTGGAGAACTTCATGTCCTTTCTACTTCCCTTGTGGGTCTCTGCCGGGTCTGGGCTTTGACAGAGGTTGTTGAATCTCATCCTTACGTAGTTGAATTCAGTGAGTATTCACCATGAGGGTCACCAGAAGTCTACGTATCTCAATTTTACTCACCCTGAGAAATGACCAAGATGCCTACAATCTGGACGTTGATTCTCATCAACTTCCAAGACTTCGTTCTACCACACTTAAGGAATAGTCAGGCCTCATACAAAGGCACCAACCTTTGAGACAGTAAAACTTCATTTACAGAGAATGAGCAGCAGACAATCGAAAACAAATAAACAAACACTGTCCAAAATGGAGGAAGGTATGGAGAAGCCCACACACTCTGTTCACAGAAAATGCCACAGAACCAGCTCAGGAACTATTTATTCTCACCCTACCTGATTTATCATAAATTTATTCTCCTACTTCCCAGCCCACTGTAGATTAGAAGCAGCAAGTAAGAGACAGGAGCACTCTGAAGTTAAGTACTACAAGAAGTTAACTACTGACATCTTGCGATGAAGATGTTAACTACCTTTCCTCAGACAAAAATACAGTTTTCATACTTAAAAAACCTTGTTTTAAAAACTATATCAACTACTAGAAAAGACATGCACTCAAAAACCTACTAGGCTGAGGTTATTTAGTGTTGAGACAAGTATCCATGTGCCACTAAATAAAGCCTGAGAGTATTGCTCTTATAATGTAGATGAGTAACTGACAGACCAAGAAGAGTTGAAATGATCAAGAATAATCTTATACTGTTTAATATCCTCTTTGACAGGGCAAAACTTTAAATGTTTGCAATCCCCAATGGTTAACTTTTTTTTTTTAAAGACTGTAACTTATGGGGTAGGAGGTGCAGTTATTAGAAAATTGTATTCATGTGGATCCTGGATAACACTAGATGAGTGGGTGTATCACTGCAGGTTCATTCTTTCCCAGGCATATGGTCATTTGGATCTCACAACATCCACATGAGCCAGTCAAGGCAGGCATCTCCCTTTAGAATTGAGGAGTCAGAGCACAGGAAAGACATGGGCCTCCATGGCCCTGTGCTGGACTCACGTCTTAAAGTTTTGGGGTTCCTTGGAGAACCCAGGACTTCTGACTGGACCCATCAAAGCCCGGCAGCCCCCCTCCCCTAGACCTACCTCGCTCTCTGACCCCTCAGAGAAATCCCTACAATGCTCTACATCACATCTTCAACTTTACACAAAGCCAGTGTAGAACAGTACACTGGGGCTCCAAGGGGTAAAAAGATCAGGGGGAGATCTTGAGTGTGGGAGGGTAGAAGAAGGAAGGAGAGAGGAAAGTTGATGAGCATTTAAAAGATAGAAGCTGGTGAGTGCTTTGAGAGACACAAAGACAAGCTGGAGAGACCGTTTTTGTGACATTTGGCTTCTCTGAGATATTCACAGGCAGAGCTCTGAGATATTCCCAGGCGGAGTTTCCAAAACAGACCTATTGAATCAGCCACATTTTTCTTTTAAAAGAAAAAGGGGCTATAAAAGACTATACCTGATGAACTCAGAGGTTCTTCCATAATCCAACACTGTCTATTTGATGGACCTCTTCCACACGCACATGCACGTACGCATACACACACACACACACACACCCCTAGAAATCCAAAAATGAAAACGTGGCAAGCTGATCAAAACAGCCGGAGCAGCCTGAAGCCTTAAACCGATCTTATTTTCCCTCCTGCCAGAGCAGAGAGACACTGGACCCTCCACTTTAAATAACAGTAAACTCCACATCTTCCAAGAAGACAATTCTCTAATAGAGGCAGGTGACTGCTATTTTCTGACAATGCACATGAATACTGATGTGGTGGAAAAGCCCCTTAGGGCACATCCCAGAACCAAAGCGTTAATAAATGCCCTCTCTTGTAAAGAAATGTGCATCAGCGGGCTCACTAAATTCAGTAACTGGAATTTGTAAGTACCATTTTTCTCCTCCAAGGGAGCTTTACTATTGCATTACGTTAAAATTTAGAAATCTTCACAAATATGCAATGCAATTAAATCTCATGCGGTAACAAGCCTCCAAGCCATGCTTCCCCTGGTTGGTACCCCCTCATTTGAATAATAATTGCTGCCATTCATTTTACAAGCATTCCTATATCTTGTATGCCTCAAAGGACAGTTTGCAGCAATGGGAAAATTACATGACGGACTAAAAACACACATGACATTTAAAGTAAATTAATGGGAAGACTAGTCAAATCTGATTTTTTTTTATCATGTGTCACCACCAGAGCTTAAGAGAAATTCACCTCATCATTTTTCCTCTCCAAATTTCATACGAATGCTTTTTTAGAAACATAATTTGCCTTTCTGTAAAAAAGAAAGTAAGTACCATATAAGAAAAAAATGTTACCTGAAACCACACACACAAAAAAACCCCTGCAACAGGAAGTAGAATAAGGAACCTAACATTGCATAAAATCATCTCGCGCAATCATGG